CTTTACTTAAGATATGTAAGAGTAACATGTTCTCATGATGGTAATTCATTATTATTTCAATAAATATAACGTAGTAAATTATAGTCAGTTTGAATTGCTACATTTAACTGTTTTTAAGAAACAGGTAATTAGTGCACAAAGTTGTTTATGCATCTCAAACTGATTTATCAAGAATGTCAGAGTGAATCTCTTAGTTTAGGTGATAAGCAATTTAAAGAAAAAAATTTAGTAATGATGTATATGTTTTCTTAATGCTAATTAAGGAGTTACATTAACTGCACATAAATAATGAGTGATGGTAAGTGCAGAGTTAAATATGTCCAATGTGTTATTTCACTTGGTTGAATTCTAACGCCTATTTGGCAGTGTTGAAAGAGTCTACTCAATGTGAAAATAAGTGTTAATGTAATAGACTAAGATCAGTGATAATGTTTCATTTGAACATGCATAAAATATTATTCATTTCAAGCTTAAAAATATTTATTTTCTAATAAATCAACTTTATTTTCTAGATAAGTTAAAATGTTAGTTAAAAGTTAAGTTCATGATCAAATAATGATCTTACTAATGTTGTTACATAAAAAAAATCAATGTTTAGTGATAATTTTCATTTGAATAAAATGATCTTGTCTTTACATACATATATATCCTCAAAGTGCTTTAATTTATCAAAAATTATTGATATGGATATTCAAAAAGTTATAATATACATGAAAGAAAATAAGCTGGGAATTAAAAGTGTAATGACCAGTAAGAGATACGTTTATTCGGCTAATTTTCGCATGTGTACACGGTGGCGGGTCAGCACGTCGCAGCCAGGTGCCTGTGATACAAAATGGGTAAAATGCAAATGAGAGTAATAACGAGGAGGTGAACATATCTCCAGGTCGTATCTCCATGTGCTCTTGAGTATACGTTTACTTTCCTTCACGTCATCCCAAAGACTTTTATGATATATTCAAACTTGCTATGTAGTGAGCAGTCAAACACTCATTTATCCTATCGCAATTGCAAAAGATAATATATTGATTATCTAGCAGCAGTGATATACATAATTTTAGTATAGACATGTGCTGGTAATTTAATTTCACAGTTGAAGCAACCTGGTTTATAATGGCTTATCATAAATGAAATAACCGTGCTTTTAATGTAGATAGATACCAGTAAAGATGCTTTGTAGATTTTTATGCCTTCATTGATTCAAGATTTGTGATGTGACTGAGAGTTATAATTATGTTACAATGGAAAGCATTTATTACTGAATAATATAACAACATGGGCAATTAAATACTTTTTTCATGGACACAGTCATTATTTATTCACAAATAATATAATTCCAATTTTCCTTTAAGCATCAAGACTAAGCATAAAACTATGAGAAAAAACCAATCAATTTTAATTGTTGATAGTTCTATTGTATCACTTGCATTCATTTCTAATGAAAGCTCTTATGATATTGAATTGAATTGAATAAAAAAGCATCTTCATTTCTGAAAAACTTTATAACAGAAGTTATAATTAATTAATTTTAAGTTTACCAGCTTCTGATGCTGATCATAATTTCAGCCTAAGAGCAGCATTTTATTGTTCCTTTATCTAATAATAAAACGATAATTAACCTCTATTTTGCAGACTTTCATGACTCAATTGATAATTATAAAGCATAACGGGTTAGTAATATGCACTTTGACTGCAAATAATATTGATGCTACTCTCTTATTTGAAACCAAGTATCCTATCTTAATTCCTTATTATTACAACCACTTTTACTTTAATCAACTGAATGATCTTTTCATGTTACACCAGTAGTATCAACGATGATGTAATAAAAACAACAAGAATTACTTTATTTATGGTATAAAATTTTAAACCCACACTATAAATAAACTAAACAGATAATATTTTTGTTATTAAGGGTCTGTATCTATTCATAAGTAGTAATTTAGAAGAATATAACTTTCCATGTGCAAATATCAATTGACTAGTAATTTACTTTTCACATTGCCTTTTTTATAGTTTAACGCTGTTATTACATATTTTATCTTAAAATCCACCTTTTATTATTTGTTTAATTAAAATTTATGTACTCTTTAGTAAGTAATACATTTCCTTATCAAGGTTAATAATAAATGATATTTGAAGAGATAAGTGGTCAGATGAAAGTATTTTATTAATATAAAAGTCTTAATTTGTTATTATTTTTCTTTCTTAGATGTATTTTATTTTTAAATGTATTCAACCGTGAGCAAAGTTATTGTTTAATTGTCAAGTTGATTAATTAACTGTTAAAGTTAAATTGGAACGTTGTAGGGTGACGAATCAAGTAGAGAAAAGTACATTAAGTTTGATGCAGCATGAGAGAACGCAAATGAAGAAAGATTATTAATCTCAAGTTGTTTGTTAATGGTAGACTCTATTAACATTAAGTCTAATGCTAAATCTATGTATGGCATTTGAGATATGTTTTTACTTTGTCATTTAAGCTATCTGACTTTTTTTTAATTGTACAAGAAGATAACAACAAATCCTTCTGACCTTCTTAAGCTTTCAATGAGTATGATTATATAATTTTTTTTTTCAATGTAATTCTTCAAAATTCTAAATATTATGTAGAGCAACGTTTTGAGTGATGCTCAGATGGCATTGAAGTCGGAGTAGAGTCGGAGATGATGAATTTTGATATAATTATCAACAAATATTGCAAAATTTGAATAAAACCTTAACAAACCTAATGAGTCTCTTAAAAGTATAAATAAAAATAGTGTTTGGTCGTGAGAATAATCTAGACTGAGAGCGAAGTGGCGAATAATAAAAACAAGAGTCGTGGTTAATTGCGAGGATTCTCTCACATGGTGGGTCAATGGTTGAAAGAAAGAAGACTCTGGAGATCGGAGTGTAGGATGAGTCTTGCTGTAGTCACTGAAAGATCTACTATCTTTAAGAGCTCGAGAAAGAACGAGAAGTAGTCGAAATAAATAAATAAAATGAACTCAAGTGAAAGATAGAAGGGAGTAAAAGGAAAAGTCTAAAGGAAAGAAGAAATAATAGGATAAAAAGGTCGTCGATTCTTATAAACGAAGGTGAAAAACTGCCGCACATACCAAGAATCTAATTAATTTACATATTATCAAAAGGATAAAGAATTGCGATAGTGTAGGGGATAATAATGAGATTTATTTTAAACAGTAGCTGTTCTATAAATAAATTCCTACCGGTATTTATTATTTACATACACAAGATGCACAATCTACTTTTGATCAATTAACAAAAATTTCAATTAATTGTTTTTCTTGCTTTCAATTTAACTATTCATACTATTTAGCAATAAATCAATTTATTATTTGAATTTTTTACGAAACAAAGTACCACTAAATATTTTTAAATCATTTCAAATTTATTTGTAAATTAAAAAACGATTTAATTAATTGAAAATTTTTTATAAAAATAATTTATTATTTTTTGCTAAATATAATATTAAATAAGAATAATTAATTGTTTATTTTTTAGCATAATATTGATAATGATAGTAAATAAAAATTTCATGATGAATAATTAAAGTGTTAATAAACAAAATTCTTGAATCATTATCATTGAAAAAAACAACAATGGTTGTTCGAGTGTCTCTCTTGTTAAAGGGGGTAAAAACATTAGTCGAAGCGGTGAGAGATCTCGCAACCTTATGACCTGGCATCCAGGTGATTTTGTGTGGCGATAATGGTGTATTCTTGCCCAAGAAGTCGAAGAACGCCGAGTTCTGGTTACGTGTTTTCAACTAATGTAGCATTCGAAAATCGTGGAGTTAACAAGTTTACACAAATGCTTACATCTAATAGGTCTAATAGGTATTACATAAATTTAAATACATCTTTACATGAAAAATGCATGTATTAAAGTGATAGTTTAACGATAATTGAACAATTGAAAGTGATACAATAAATAAATCTTATTGAAATGAACAATGCTACCGTTTGCCCACAGACCCTACAAAAGAAAATAAAAGTGAACCCTTCGGTTCAGATGATATACTGCAAGATTCACGATACCGCCAAAAGGGACAAACTCCCACTACTTTTGAAACTTCAGTCGATGAGTCTTCGGGTGTTGTGCAAAAAAAAAGAAAATGGTTTATTTTATTGTGCTTCGTTTTTGATTGTTTCTCGTTTAATAATGAGAATATCGCGTGCAAGAAGAAAGATCCTAAGTTGAAGGAAATAAAATTGAGTGAATATTAGATTCCTAACTTGAAAAAATTTCATTCGGAATCGAATATTTTCGATTTTTTTTCCTCCTCTCTTTTATTTCACTGTGATAACTGAAGGCTGAAGAAAATATTGGAAAGTCTTCATTTATATTTGAGATAAAATGCCATTGAAAAACAAAAATTCGAGGCTTGCTAGGGAATTTTTTTATTCTACTGTGGACTGCAGAGATTAGCATCTCTTAATTAAGTGCAATGAAAATAATAACATGGACTTGAAACCTATGGAAAAGACTTTTTAATTGAATATATTTTATAGAGGTTGATTGAAAAAATTTTAAAATAATAAAATTAAGTTAAATTGATTTATAATAAATTTATTAAAAGATTTGAGACCATAAATTAAATTATTTTTTAAAGAATAAAATTATTCAGTTCTCTGCTCTTGAAGATGAATGGTTTTATGGTTATTTTTCTTTGAAAAATTATTTAAATACCAATTACAACTTCTACGCACAAAAGAACATCAAATGATCACATTTTTTAAAAATTTAAAATTAATATACTGGGTTAAAAGTACTTATTAAGTAGACTTATACATTTTTTTAAAATAATCATCTCGATATGTATCAGTGTGATTAAGTTTGATTAATTTCCTCGTTTTTATTTCAGCATATAATACCATACCACATATTCCGCGTAACAAAGTATGTTTATGATTACTGTGATGTATGGTACACGTATGTACAGTGTATAATATTGAATGAAATTTATTCAGATAAAAATGGAATCTATTACTCACCTTGGAAGTAGCTTTTGGTACGAAGATAACTAACACTAAGTCTGAGAATACTGAGTCGATCTAATTTGCTTAGGATATTTTGTTCGAAAGGTAGTAGTGATGCTAATGTATCTAATTCGGCATTTAACCTTTCTCGATGTCGTTTGCTGGGATTCGATTTGGTAACTCCATCCTTTTGAGGTGGTTTTAAACTGAAACAAGAATAGTTGGCTATTAATCTTTAATTGAAAGTTTTCAAAAACATTTTATAGTCATTTACTTGTTAAAATTATTTTTAATTACATTCAAAAGTCTTTAAATTAATTTAACATAATTCAAAAAAATTTTCGTACATAAAACAATAAAAAAAAATTGATTGAAATTAATCTAAAAATTTAGAAATAAATGAATTTTATTCCTAAATTTTTTCGAATACTGTAAAACTTTAACAGTTATTTTTATGAATAATAAATGTATACTACATTAACGATTATTGCAGGCAAAAGAAAAAAATTTTCAATATAAGTATAAAATCCACAAAATAAAAAACAAAATTAAAATTTAACAGATTGGTTAAAAAAGAGTTCTCAAACAAATATTCATTAACAAAATCGAAATCCAGCGTACAGATTTCTGATTGTTTATCTAATTGAAGCGTTACCCGCTTAGTTTATGAGAGTCAGATGAGACAAGAGCTGAGAATGACTGTTACTGAGTCAAAGACACCGCCAAAGTTATCATCATTCGCTAGGCTGTATTTACGAATAATTATTATTCTTATGTTGGCGCATTTAACGGCTTACCGAGCAGACCAGGCTACCGTAGTCTAGAGTTCCGACAGGTCCTGAAAAAAAGTCTGCTGCACGAGGACCAGTTCTTATCGCAGGTTATTAAGGAAATAGTGTTAATGAGTTGTTATTCGACAGCAAACCGCTAGTTTATTTATTCTCTTACACTTCTTCAGATTCATTCATCAAACTTTTTGTGTATTATTTTGACGAAATAAAATATAAAATATATTTAAAATTATAAATTGAAACAACTTTTAACTAATTGAATCATTCATTATAATATTTAAGTAATACAACTTAGGTAATAATAATAGTATGTTTAATTCAGATTTTTTATTTTTGTTCGACTCTAAAGAATAATTAGCTTTGTTTTGTGAACATAAATGAGATAGAGAAGAGGTCGCCATGTAGATAAAACAAAAGGCTATGTTGGTGTTCTGACTCTAATAATGTCCGAGAGCTAAGACCTCTGCTCTCGGACTCTGATTCTCTTCTTTCTCTTTGCCTTCTATATCTTTCTTTCTTTTGGTCGCAGGTAATGGATTTTATGTCATCCAATAATTAATAGAGTTCTTTGGTCACGTAGGTGCCATATATGGCGAAATATCATTCATCACGCTTTCTAACATCTAGTGATTTTAATTAACATTCACTGTTTTCATTCTAACTTTTGTATTTTATTCGATCTATTTAATAACCTCTATGGCTCTATTGTAAGAAACTTTGTTCCTCAAGTTGGAAAAAGTTGTTTAAACAGGAAGTGATGTCATAACATGCAAGGAAAATTCTTTTTTTTTTTATTTCTTTAAAAGTCCAATTATATTGGATTTAAACACACAAATGAATTGTTTTTATTCATTCAATAAAAATGATAAGCAATAAATAATAAATTCCAAACCTTGGGAAATAAATAAAATTATTGATGAAGTAATCAGCAATTAGCATTTAATTGGAGAGCATAAAAGGTGCATTGAAAGAAAGCAAAGAGAAAAAACAATGTAAATGAAAACAAAGAAATTTAAATTTCAATTAAATCAATGACAGTGAAAACCGGAATTGACTTCAATTCTAAAGTTACATTGACGTAAAGTTGATGTTAAAATTGAATAATAAAAATTTTGTAGGAGTTAATGACAATAATAAATTACCTATATCTACTGATGGATTTTAAGGATGGAAAAAAAATAAAACCTGTCGAAAGAATGCTAATTATAACAAGAAAAAATAATGTTCATTGTTTTCATTAGATATATTATGAGTAATGATGAAATTTATTTTCTCATGATCTACGTTAATTCTATATAATTTAAGTTATTTTGTTAGGGTTGAAAATTTACTAATACACTGTAGAAGGTGATACGGTTTTAGTTGACCAGGTGACTACCGCCCTCCCGCCAAGACCTCCCCTCACTCGAGGGGTTCCTACTGCAGCACACGTAACGCATCGCTACAGTTGCAATAGACCAGTTGTGGTTGATACTAATCTGCTCCACCAAGCGTAAAACACAGACATTCTCAAAGATCATTTCAGTCTGACCCGAGAAAGTCATGTCTGAAGAAATCAATATATATAATCCGCTTGTTGTTGTTGTTTGTATATAGAAAAATATTCTTCAAAATTTTTTTAAATACCTTTCCAACCTCCAGAATTAACTATGTAAATTAAAAAAATCATTCCATTTCATTCAACATATATTTTAATTTTTTATTCACAGCCACAAACTCACATCGCAATAGCATAAACTAATCATTCATTGACAATGAAGTAAGCAGTTCATGAGCTTCAATGTTTTTTATCTGACTAAGGAAAAAAGCAATTTTATTTTTTTTTTCAATCATATTATTTAAAAGAAAAATTTGTTTTTAATGGATTTATTATATTTAATTAATTATATTTTAATAATATTTTAAAAAATAAATTTTATCAGTTAAATTAATTAAATTCAATGTTTTTTGTATTCTAACCAATAGTTGGAGTTTAAAAATATAACTCGATTCCGAACCAGATATTGATTACTATTTTCTAAGCCCAGGGTTTCAGAAATACTTCAATAGAAGATTCTCGAAAATTCTTGACCTTTATTTCATCGACTATTGTAACCTATTTTCCTCTGAAAACAACATGTTTATTATCAAACTAATTTTTTACCTCAAACTTCAATAAATTGCTCACTTAACCATTCAACTTTTAAAATACAATAAAATATTTCGCAAACTTTTACAAATTATACTCCAATACTTTCATTTATTATTATAATGATTAGAAAAAATGATTGGTAATCACCATTTTTACTACCAAAATTACAATAAATAATATTTGACCTTAAACTTTCAAAAATAACAAATGAACTTTCATTCTCTTATTGTCTACGTAACGATACACGAAAGTATGAACTACAATAACGACTGCACTGTATAGCAGTACAATTATTATTTATTATTGCTATTTCCTCGATCTATTTAATAGTCTTTATTATACTATTATTTCTATTGTTGTATTACCATCTGATCTCTATTATTTTCCATATATTGTAATCACTAAAATCTAATTTATTGTAAAAACATGTTCTGGATCATTTGAGATTCAGTTAACTGACACGTTACTAATCATCAGATCCTTACAACCCAACGAAAAAAACATATTGTTTCAAAGCTTTTTTTTACATAATTATTTCCAGTACAAACACATTAATTAACTAACAATTTAACAAAAAAATGTGTTGATTAAAAAGGATCGAAAGTAGAGAGGTATGGAAATGAAATGTATTTTATCATTTTAAAATTTTTTATTTCATTAAAAGATTATCAACTGTCCACCATTTTGTAAGATATACTCGCAGATTGTAGCCTTTGATATCAGAATACTCGGTTTCATCCCTATAAGAGCATTAAAGGGATTGGGTGAGAAATAAACGAGAGATGGATGCGCAAGCGCCAGAAAAGGTGGCTCTGCTATAGATTTTCAAGAGTTCAGGGGTAATCTACACTGCTATAGGGTTGTCCGAATTACGGACATCTTTGTATAATCATTGTGCTATTATATAGGGGCAGTAATAAGCCATACATTACTTTATTTACGTATCTACCTTGGACATATTACTAGGGGAACTCGATAAAAAATGTTTTATTTTTATCATCATTAATAATTGTTTAATCTGATTAGTATTGAAATAAATGTAAACATTGGTATGAGTATGCTTATTCACTGAGTACTTGAATGATCATTTGACTTCTATAACATAATTTAGATGTGAATGTCAAGAAAAATGATTATTATTTTGAAAGTAGTGTAAATATGCAGGTCATTAAACTATGCTGCTATGATTTATTTATAATTTATTGGACACCCTAGCTATTTAAGGACTACCTTTTGTTAGGGACATTTCTAGCCACCGAATTAGTAGCACTTATTGATCATTATCTTACGAATTATGCAACAGTCGCTGTTCTCATAAGCATAAAAGATGCCAGTGGGGTTTTGTTATCGATGTTGATTCTCTGCTGTGATAATATTTATCCATATGACTAAAAAATTATACCTTATTTTAACTAAAAGCTTAGACCATTGGGGAATTATATGGCTGCTTTCGGTAATTAACTTACTTTCCAAATGTAATCAATTCATAGATTCAAGTGATTTTCTATTATATAAAAGCTATCTTTTTTTATTTTGTGAGGGTTGGAAGGAGGGGGGTAGATAGATTTTAAATGAATTCCTTTCAAGGGGTGGTAATGGTAAAAAATATCTTTTAACATTTGTTTACAATGAATTAATTATTATAATTATTAAGAATATTAATTGATTAAAATTTACTTTTCAAATATTAATTTAAAAAAAAGTAATTAGTAAGAATGAATGTCTACTAACTGAAATATTGTTTGAAATGTTTATGTGTAATGAATGATTTATTTTATTGACTTAACCATAAGATAAGTACTTAAAATTAATCTTAGTATTTAAATAAATTTCTTGAAAAACGAATTAATCAAGTCTATGAATGCAGAATAAAAATGATAGCATTTCTTCCCCAAGTAAAGTGTATGGAATTTTTCTATCTTGAATATTAAAAATTTTCAAAGTAATTATTCAGCTGCATAAATACACTGTCATTTCTTTTTTTACTTTTTAAATTTGCAGTTAGACTTAACACGCGATGGCGCTTATTTTTCTACTTTAGCTATGGCTGACATATCCAGCATCATTATATAATTATAAAGAAGAAACGGTTCTTCCGACATGGTACGTAGCCGCAATTCAAGATTCACGTTAATAGCCTGAAAATCTGAATACCAATGTCTATTATTGTACTAGACAATTATACATAAGTTACCAAGGTATCAACTTTTTCTCTAACACCGGTGATTCATAGGATAATTACTTTCATTTTAATTTAATAACACACAAATACATTTCCCACTCA